GGCCCATGTCTGCTCTGGGGCTGGATTGATGGTGCAGGGCCGCCCCCTGGTGGCCGTCCCTGGGAATGGCAGGCTGGAGCTCTTAAAGGGCCAGTTCCCCTTTTTAGCCTCACTCCGCCCCATCTCCCATCACTAACCCCTCTAAACCCCCTAGACTCTCCCCCCTCCCATGGCACCCCCCACTGCTGCCTCCTCCAGACTCCATCCCCTCTGACCCTCACAGCCCTCGCTGGAGTCCCCTTAACCCCCCCCAATTTTGCCCCTTCTACCCCCCTCCCCCGGGCCAGCCTCATCCTGCCCTGCTGCCCCCTCCCGGCACCCCCCATCCTCTAACCCCCTCCTCTCCCCTGCTGCAGGAGCACCTCTGCCCCCCAGCGGCGATTCCCGGCCCGGAGGAGAAGTCAGCTCCGAAGGACCCGGAGCCCCACGCGATGGTGAGTCACAAGGCAGCCACCAGATGTGCAGGGGGAAGGAGGAGGCCTGGTAGCCAGATGAGGAGAGGGGAGGATCATGTAGGCTGATGTTTACGTGGGGGGGGGGGCAGATGGGGAAGGGGAGGTGGAAGCTTGTGGCCAGATGTTTTGGGGGTAGCCAGATGGGCAGGCTGGGGGGAAGCAGTTTGCAGCCAGATGTGCAGGGGGGCAGGGGAGCCCAGCCAGATGTGCAGGGTGGGAGCCAGATGGGAGCTGACCCCTCTCCCTTCCTCCCCCAGGACGCCCCGTCCCCGGAGCTCCAGCGGCGGATACAGCAGTTGGAGGTTATGGTGACGTCCTTGCGCCGGGAGCTGCAGAGCCAGGCCGGCACCATGGAAGCTCTGCGACGTCGGTGCCTCCAGGACCAGCCGTCCCCGGGGATCTCCGCGGAGTCGTCCGGCTGCTCCCATGGGGCTTGGGGGGCTGTGGCGACGTCCCCGGAGCTGGCCAGCACCGACGGGACCCTGGTTTGGAAGCTCCAAGGGTTCTCCAAGCTGCTAGGGGACGCCAAGGCCGGGAGGAGAGCGTCCATGTATTCCTCGGTCTTCGCCACCCACCCCTTCGGCTACCGGCTCTGCCTCCGGCTCTACCCGGACGGGGATGGGGCCGGCCAGGGGACCCACCTCTCGCTGTTCATGGCCTTGGCCAAGGGGCCCTACGATGATCTCCTGCCTTGGCCTTTCCTCTGCAAGGTCACCTTCTACCTCCTGGATCCCTGGCGGCGGAGGCCGGCCCTGAGGGAGACGTTCGCCCCTGACCCCTGCAGCACGTCCTTCCAGCAGCCCCGGGGCCAGCTCAACGTGGCTAGCGGGAGCCCCCTCTTTGCCCCCCATGGACAGCTCCAAAACTACCTCAAAGATGACACCCTCTACGTCAAGGTGGTGGTGGACACGTCTGGGATGGAGGTGTGAGCTTTGGGGGTGGGGGGTTCCTCTGCCCCCATAGCCTCCTGACTCTTCCTATTCCTCCCTCAGCCCCCCTAAAGCTCTGACCCCCAATGCTGCCCCCTACCACCCTCCAGCTCTCCCGCCAAAGACTTAGAAACAGCTTTCCTTGTGCGTTAGCGGCTCGGAAATCTTCCAGCTGCCAGAGGTGAATGTAGTGGAAGTTACCCTTGTGGCTTAGAACACTACACGCTTGTTGGGCTTTTAAAGCTAAGCAGGGGGGGGGTTGGTTCTGAGAACAGATGGGAGACCTGAGACCCCCATGCTCAGCAGGGACTGGGCTGTTTGGGGGCTTGCAAGGGAGGGAGACGTGGGGGTTGAGTTGAGCAGGCTCTGGGCTGTTTGAGCCAGACCCCAATGCTCAGCGGGGCCTGGCTGGTTTCTGCAGGCAGATGGGAGACTAATTTGCCGGCCACTGGGTTGTCTGGCTGATGATAATTGATGACCGTTAATAACGACCCGAGCTGCACACAGGACGGCGACGTTCGCGGGTCTCTCTAAGCAATGAATTGTCTATTTATCTATTTATGTATTTATTGGCCGGCTGCTGGTGCGCTGGGCTGAGTCGTTCCCCCGGGGGAAGGAGGAGTCTGTGTGTGCGTGTGCATGTGCGTGTCTGTGTGTGTGCGTGTGAAGCACAATTAATCCGGCCCCTGTGCACAGTCACTGACCTAGGACACGTCCAGCTCCCTCACCCCGTATTTATCGTCAGCGTTTGGTTTATGTATTGTGTGATATTGTAATAAAAATCTTGGTGCCCCACTCGTGTTACTGTCCTTGTCACAGCGCCCAGCGAGGCAACCGGCTGGCCCAGGCACAGCG